GTATAACTTTTACATTAATAGCTGTTGTCATGTTTATTTTTGCTTATTTTTGCAGTGGGAGATTGAATAATATTTTGCTAAAAGGTGGCAATTCGTTTTTTCTCGCATTTTCTTATGCAAGAGCGGCTTGGCAATGGTTCATGCTTTCTGCAGTTAATAAATATAGATTAACTATTTTTCCATCTGGTTCAAACCAACTATTCTATCGAACTTTTATATCATTTATGATGTTAGAAGTTTTATTCATAATTTTTTATTACACAGGATTGTTTTCTATTTGTATCATTAAATATATAAAGGCAGATGATCATAATATTATAATTATTCACACAATCATTAGTTTTGTTTTAATTTATATTTTAATTTTTAGTTTATTCTTTGTATTTAAAAATTGTTGGGTTTGCAAGCTTGCATATACAAACCTCAGATTATATACTTTATGCCCGATATGTGCAAAAGAAATAGCAAATCCAGTATGGTGTCAAGAATGTGGAATTACATATTTTAAGAATGATTTTGTTAATTGGACTAGTGGAAATCCGAAAATTGATGAGATTATAAAAGAAACACAAATGAATTCGAAAGATTCAATTAATTCTGTTGAGTGGATTCCATATGAACAATTAGAGCAAATAAACCAAATTGATCAAGGTGGATTTGGAACGATTTATAGTGCATTCTGGAAGCAAGGCCCACTTCCTATGATTGGAAATGAATTTAAACGAACTAAAGGAATTCAAGTTGCCTTAAAAAGTGGAATTTCTTTAGAAAATTTAGAAGAGGTAATCACATTAAATCTTTTTATTTGTGTATTTATATATAAATATATCATAAAATAATATTTTATCCTATATAGCTTCGTATGCATATAAAATGCAGTACAAATTCAAATTTTTATATAACCAAAAATGGATATAAAACTGGAAGGTCGCCAATCCTTCGTTGTTATGGTCTTACATGTATACCTGAAGATACTGAAAAATATTTGCTAGTAATGCAATTTGCAAGAGGTAGTGATTTGCTAAAATATTTA